ACTGTACAAACTCTTTAGAGATATTAACGTGAGTTTTCAGAATGAAGGATCAAATGAGTTAGTTATCTGTAGAATATGGGGAAGTCCTAGTACTATATTTGAGTCGGACCTTTCCTCGTTTACTCTGTGGGAAAGAATGGCACCATGATTTAACTGATATGTTAATGAGCTGAGGAATGCAATGCATATGGCAATTCCATTAGTCCTACATGTTAACTATATCTGAGCAAGGGCTACAACACTAGAAGATAAGAAGAGGCTGTAATATTTGCAAAAGGAGATGGGGAAAAACTCAGGTGTGTTTCCTTGGCTGTAAGTCCCATCGTGGTTCACAGAAATGAGTCTTTAGTCAAGTGATTGTAGAGAGAAGATTGAAAACCCTGAAATCAGAGGCTCCTTGACATGCTCAGCCTGGAGGGTTCGGGCTGTGGATGCTATTTGTGAGATTACGCTTACCTCTGGCAGGTTGTTCAATCTCTTGTTTGGGGAACCAAGATTACTTCTATTTACAACACCTGAGGCTACTCCATCTCCCGCACATTCCAATCCGAGTCTTGGGGTAACATGTCACTGGTCGGCAATGCCCCCCTGCAGCGTCGCATTCTGCCTTAGTCTGTGGCTCCTGGGGTTCTTGACTCTCTTCTGTCTCCTTACAAAATCCTGCACAAAGAGAGAGAGAAAATATCACTGTGCACTGCAGAGAGCAAAAGAATGTTACAGGTTTGCAGGGGCAAAGAAAATTCAGAAGAGGAAGGAAAAGGTGGTACAAGTTCTTGGCACCTCAGGGTACAGTGGCATTCCAGCTCCGAACTCCAACCTTTGGCCACACATGTAGTCAGGGTGTCAGGGAACTGACATCAGAGACAAGGGAGAAGGAGAGGGTCTCAGACTCTGCAGGTGAAGGTCCTAGCACAAGGGGGAGACTCAGCTCGGTGGAAGGGGAAGGAAATACGCGTTACACCAAGAGTCCAGGAGAGCAAGGGGAAGAGGAGATGGAAGGGCTCCGGGATTCTTCCCTGGAAGTCAGTGAAGAGAGCCCAGGCACTCCGCTACCCACGCCCACCCTGCGCAGGAGACTCCCGCGCAATGAGAGGCAGAGACGATTAGGTGTCAAACAGCTTTTATGCTGGCAGAGGTTTAAGAAACGCCCACAGACAGATTCTGCCAGTGACTGAGGCAGTCAAGCGGAGATGGGCTGTGCAGTCCGAAGGATTTAACCAGGCAACCAAGCACCCAAACGGGGTTGGTTTACGCACGAGTAACTCCAAACCACTACACAGGGCAAGAGTCAGACGCTGGTCAGCAAAAAGAAGCAGTTTTCAGTGAAGTTTACTTTTTATTCAAAGAATCGGCATACAACTCAGTCACACGTCCCAGTAGGTCTTGAGCCTACTGAGCAGTTACTAGGACTGAAGGTCCCTGCCTCCTTCTAAGGCTCCTCCTCTTTCAAACATTTGCCAAGCACTCTCTAAAGTCATCTGCCCACCTCTGACCTCTGTTCTGCTTTTCTCATTGTCCTGCACGTTCTTGGGGACCAGTGGGGAGCTTGTCACAACTGGAGAGAAAGACTCCCGGCATTCTTCAGCAGCCTCTAGATTAGTCTGTTTCAGCCTTGGAGTCTGAACTGCTCCCTGCCACAGGTTTCTCCTGCTCTCTAAACCCTATTGCCCCTTCGGCATCCTGCACATCCTCCCAATCTTCTCCCTCTGACCTCTCCTCAGTGTCCCACCACCAATCCCCATGATCTGAGCTTTCTTCCTCTGGGATTTCCATTTGTGGGTTCCCAGCTGTCACCTCAACACCACTCCTCCTCGTCCAGCCAGTCCCTGACACATGTTCTCCATCCCTGCTTTGGAATCCATAGAAATGGGACCTTCAAGAATATTGCAACACGTTATACGTAGGCCGCCTCAGAAGACAGTTTGGAAACTTTAGCTGATGTAGAATTTGGTGGCCTGGTTGCCCACCTGGCCAAGAGGGCCCAAGCATATTACACCATTCCTGGCCCAACTGCACTGGCTACCGATTAATTTCCAGCCCCAATTCAATGTTCTGGTTTTGACTTATGAGGCTTAAATGGCTCAGGGTTGCAATACATCCAGGTCTGCCTCTCTCTCAGCGGTTGTCAATCTGTGGGTCCCCAGATGTTGTTGGACTACAACTCCCATCTTCCCTGAGCTCTGGCCTTGCTAGCTAGGGGTGATGTGAGTCGTAGTTCAACAACATCTGGAGACCCACAGGTTGAGAAACCTGTTCCAGAGGAACCGGCCCAGAACTTGTGATCACCATCTGAGGCCCTTCTTCATTTGCACCCTCCACGAGAGGTCTGGAGGGTGGTAACACGAGATGGGGCTTTTATCTGCTGGTCCCTGTTTGCGGAATGCTCTCCCCAAAGTGGCACACCTGGAGCCATCATTGCATATATTTGTGCACCAAGCCAATGTTTTCTTTTATAACCAGTCCTTTGACCTTGAACTAACAAATCTGATAATACAATAAAATAAGGAAGTGTTTATAGTTCTGAGTAGTGCTCTCCTCTCCATTCCATTCTCCCTCCCCAGTTTTACACCCACACACCAACACACACACACCCCTTTACAGACATCTTTAGAATATGGGATTATTTGAAGGGGGCTGTCCCTAACATTTACTGAGGTTTCCCCTGCCCTAAAGCTTCTTGGAACTACTGCAAATCTGAAGGTGCTCCTCAACCCTTGTTGATATGTCCCTCTTCTGCTTGTGTGCTGTTGCTTTGAACAATGCAGGGAATCCACCACTTGAGCTCTCCAGGAAGGATCTGCAAATGTTTGGCTGAAATCTACACTCCTATAACTTAGGCCAGTTATAGATATAATTTCTCATTGGCAGCAGAAAGCAAACATTTCCAGCCTTTCATGGAGCTGCCCAGCATCAACCCAGTATCTCCAGGCTGTGGGTCTTTCCTTGAGAGCCACTGTCTGTTAGTGTAGACAGTTTTAAGCTAGATGGACCAGTGGTCTGATATGGTAGAAAACAGAAGGGTTAAAAGTACTGAGCTGTTCTCAAAACCTTTGAATGGTGCTGTTTCCTAGCCCCACTATGCAGGACCTGAAGACAACTGCCTTCTTCTGTATCACTTACCAGACGTAGCCAGCAGCAGCAAAGACAAAATAGCCAAACATAGCTGGAGGATCTTCATGGCTCTGTTAGGATAGACGGTGCAGTGAGACTCGGTGCAAGGCCACAGGCCAGAAGGTGGTCAGGGGAGAGCCGAGTGATCCATATTTATAGGATTTTTGGGAAGTGGTTCCTCCCTCTTCCTTGCAAAGTGCAGCAAGTCGTCATCATGCCCTGAAGGAAAGTGGGGCTGCTGGTTCAGCCATCAGCACACTGTCTTCCCCAGAATGACATGTAGAGATGGAAAGATTAGAGGTTTTGGCCCATTGTGAGACATGGAGGACGCTAAGACCGGAAGAAGCACCCAGGTGAGTCACTGAGCACCTACTGTTAGAAATAAAGCCAGTGTACTGTAAGAGGCAAAGGTCACCAGTGCGATCGCCGAAAAATGGGACACACTGGGCTGTGAGCACTCCAACTGCAGCACAGTCTTTATCAAAGGTAACATGGTCTTTGGAGATCCACAAACTCAGGAAAAAAGGGAAGAAACATGCTACGAGGAAGGCACGCTTGGCAAACCCTCACCATGATCAACTCCCTCCTGGAAACCTATGTCCCCACTGTGGAAGGACATGTGGATCCAGAATTGGCCTCCACCATCACTGACGGTCTCACTGTTAATACTGTGTTTATGGAAGATGTAGGATTTATTGCTGTTTTAAGTGCATTCTTTGCTTTTAATCTTGTGTGCTGCTTACAGATTTTAACAGGTTTATAAATGCTTTCAAGTCAATTCAGGTTTGCTTTTATCAAAGTGAGGAGATTTCACCCCTCCCATACCCAAGAATCTCCTGATGATCTCCTGATGGTCTCTGCTGACTCTCCAGAGGAGGAGGCGTGTCCTGCTATCTACTTATTCTGCCCAGCATCACATCAATCTCTGTGTGCGAGAGAGTCAGTCAGTCAGTGTGTCGGAGAGAGAGAGAGACTGAGTGTTACAGATCGTGTGTAGAGATAAGGTTGCTGCTAAGAGCAGCTGCAGACACTCAGTGTAGTGTAGCATTCTTTATGCTTAGAATATTCAGCTCTGTATATAGTTTTGTATCATAGTTGTAGTTACAGAATAAAAGGAAGATATTTTACAGAGCTGCTCTCCGAGTGGTTTATACTCTGCAAGACTCTGCAAAACTCTGCTCCACAACGACTGTATTATTGAGACAGTGAATCCGGTGCTCTCAGCTCTAAGCTGTGAGTCCACAGCACTGTGACCTGTTCCTGTGAGAAAGGAGGTCTCTGGCGGTGCTACCCAGCTCGCCTAGCCCAGTCGGGGTTGAGGTGCATGAGTCCAGTTGGTGCACTGGCTCAAGGGCGATGCTGACAACTCTAGTGTTCCAAATTGTTTACTGTCTAGAAAGATTTTTAATAATCTCAACGGCCTTGGCCCAGTATACCTGAAGGAGCATCTCCACCCTCTTCATTCAGCTATAGACCTTGTTTAGAACCTCGAACCCGGATAATAGAAAATTGGCAACCAGTGCATCTCTGAGCAGCGTAACATGTTGTCCCCAGTAGCTGCTCCTGTGTGGTGTCTGGCTGCTGATTTCTACTAGTTTTATCAACACTGTTTACAAGGTTTAGCATCACGGAAAAACCAAAACATAACCCGTGGTGGTTATAGGGTATATGCTAGGTGGGTTGCCACACCTCCCTTCCCATTTTGTCATATTTCACTATCCTCATTGTGGCTCAACAGACTGTTTTGGGAGAATCCTTTCTCCTATTAGGGTTCTTTTCTACAGATCTGTTCTGCTTCTGCACAATCGTGCTGGTTGAAACCTCTGTCTCATGAGGGCAGGGTGCTATTTCGGCTGCATAAGCAAGGATGGATAACTGGAAACTGGAAAGAGAGGGAACGTGGTTTTTTAATTTGCTTTTATTGCAAGGGACAAGCTGGTATAATCATGGAACATTTTGCGATGGCTTATTCTTTCGATCCAGATGCTTTGGTGAAGAAGCAGAAGGCGTCTCTAGCTGGGGGTGAAGCAGCAATCCAGTGGCTCTTAAAAGATCTTGGGTAAGCAGGACTCCTCCATCAGTCTAACCTGTTTGAAAACAAAGCAAAATATACAGCTGTTATCTCTATTTCACCTGGAATCAGATGTCAAAATGATGAAGATAGGAAGGTGGAGCATTGCAGGCAATGAATGAGCTAAGGCAATCAATAACAAGTATTTCAGGGAAATGTAAACTCCTGTGGACAAGAACAAATACATTTCTGAGCACAATTCAAAGTGTCGGTGCTAACCTTTAAGGCCCTAAACGGCCTTGGCCCAGTATACCTGAAGGAGCATCTCCACCCTCATCGTTCAGCCCGGATACTGAGGTCCAGCGCCGAGGGCCTTCTGGAGGTTCCCTTCCTGCGAGAAGTGAGGCCTTCTCGGTAGCGGCACCCGCCCTGTGGAATGCCCTCCCATCAGATATCAAGGAAATAAAAAACTATCTGACTTTTAGAAGAGATCTACCCTATTTAAAGAGTCAACCCTATTTAAAGACGTTTTTATGTTTGATGTTTCATTGTGTTTTTAACAATGGTTTGGGAGCCACACAGAGTTGCTAGGGAAAACCAGCCAGATGCCCGGGGTATAAATAACAAATTGTTGTTTGCTGTTTTCTTGTCATGGTTTTCTGTATATATTTGTATTGTTCTAGAGCAGGTCCCCAGCTCATCTGAGAATTGAACAACAACAAAAAATGACAAATGAAGGGCAATAGAAGGTATAGACAATATAAACAGGTAAAAGAAAAAGAAGGAAAAAAGTCAGATTCTGATGAACAAATGAGGACAGATTCCAGTTACACAATAAACTCTGAGAATGTTAAAACTCTTTAGAGATATTGGCATGAGTTTTCAGAATGAAGGATGAAAAGAGTTAGTTATGTGAGGAGAGGACTTCCAGAACAGCGCGCTCAGTGTTTGGTCGGAGTTTGAGCTCTGAGCTACTCGAGACAGACTCGGCACCTGGAGAGGCGAAACAGGAGGCGTAAGTTGCCCCTACTCGGGTGGATTTCCCGGGAGCAGAGGCTCAGCAGCGCAAAAAAGGGGTTTCCCCACACTAGAACTGGACTTTGAGACACTTTAAGAAAGAAATTTAGGGGAGAACCTCTGCACAAAGGAGCGACACCGCCCTCCGGTGCCTTTGCCTCCAGACCCCATGAGCTAGCGCTGGACTCTCCAGTAAGATATTGACACAAATTCAAGGAGCACCCCCCCCCCCAATTTATACAGTGAGAAAGGGGTTATCTAAGCCCCAACAATACATCAGAAACAAAAAAAGCGGGGACTAACAAACAGATAAAATTAAGAAGTTGCAAGTGGAATGCTAAAAGGGGGTCATCCCTCACTACAGAAATTAATGCTGGAGAACTGACAGTGCGGTAGAGATCATAGAATCATAGAATCATAGAATCATAGAATCATAGAATCATAGAGTTGGAAGAGACCACAAGGGCCATCGAGTCCAACCCCCTGCCAAGCAGGAAACACCATCAGAGTACTCCTGACATATGGTTGTCAAGCCTCTGCTTAAAGACCTCCAAAGAAGGAGACTCCACCACACTCCTTGGCAGCAAATTCCACTGTCGAACAGCTCTTACTGTCAGGAAGTTCTTCCTTATGTGTAGGTGGAATCTTCTTTCTTGTAGTTTGGATCCATTGCTCCGTGTCCGCTTCTCTGGAGCAGCAGAAAACAGCCTTTCTCCCTCCTCTATGTGACATCCTTTTATATATTTGAACATGGCTATCATATCACCCCTTAACCTCCTCTTCTCCAGGCTAAACATGCCCAGCTCCCTTAGCCGTTCCTCATAAGGCATCATTTCCAGGCCTTTGACCATTTTGGTTGCCCTCCTCTGGACACGTTCCAGTTTGTCAGTGTCCTTCTTGAACTGTGGTGCCCAGAACTGGACACAGTACTCCAGGTGAGGTCTGACCAGAGCAGAATACAGTGGCACTATTACTTCCCTTGATCTAGATGCTATACTCCTATTGATGAGGCCCAGAATTGCATTGGCTTTTTTAGCTGCCGCGTCACACTGTTGGCTCATGTCAAGTTTGTGGTCAACCAAGACTCCTAGATCCTTTTCACATGTACTGCTCTCAAGCCAGGTGTCACCCATCTTGTATTTGTGCCTCTCATTTTTTTTGCCCAAGTGCAATACTTTACATTTCTCCCTGTTAAAATTCATCTTGTTTGTTTTGGCCCAGTTCTCTAATCTGTCAAGGTCGTTTTGAAGTGTGATCCTGTCCTCTGGGGTGTTAGCCACCCCTCCCAGTTTGGTGTCATCTGCAAATTTGATCAGGATGCCCTTGAGTCCATCATCCAAGTCGTTGATAAAGATGTTGAATAAGACCGGGCCCAAGACAGAACCCTGTGGCACCCCACTAGTCGCTCTTCTCCAGGATGAAGAGGAACCATTGATGAGCACCCTTTGGGTTCGGTCAGTCAGCCAGTTACAAATCCACTGAGTGGTAGCATAGTCAAGACCGCATTTTACCAGCTTCTTTACAAGAATATCATGGGGCACCTTGTCAAATGCCTTGCTGAAATCAAGGTAGACTACATCCACTGCGTTCCCTTCATCTACCAGGCTTGTAATTCTGTCAAAAAACGAGATCAGGTTAGTCTGACATGACTTATTTTTCAGAAATCCATGCTGACTATTGGTGATCACAGCATTCCTTTCTAGGTGCTCACAGACTGTTTGCTTAATGATCTGCTCCAGAATCTTCCCTGGTATTGATGTCAGACTGACTGGGCGGTAATTATTTGGGTCCTCTCTTTTCCCCTTTTTGAAAATAGGGGGCTTCTCTGCACTCCCAAAATAACACAGTCAACCCAAGAAGTGTCACTGGAGTTTGGAGCGGGGGAACAGTTTAGACCAGCTAAACAGACAACAGAAATAAGGAGAGCTCTTTACCAGAGACTTGCGGAGATCTGGAGAGGCGAGGAGAAGGCTGGAGGAGTGAGTCAGCAGATTGAGTGAGGTGGGTGGTGGCCATTTCTGAAAGACTACACTGGAGAAGACTTTAAAGAGCCGCTTTAACACCAGAGAAAGATAGAGTGAGGAACGGCTGGAAGAGTGATATAGCGGCCACTAGTGGAAGTAAAGCGGGACGCGGGTGGTGCTGTGGGTAAAACCTCAGCTCCTAGGACTTGCCGATCGCATGGTCAGTGGTTTGAATCCCCGTGGCGGGGTGAGCTCCCGCCGTTCGGTCCCAGCTCCTGCCCACCTAGCAGTTCAAAAGCACCCTTAAGTGCAAGTAGATAAATAGGTACCACTTTATAGCGGGAAGGTAAATGGCATTTCCGTGTGCTGCACTGGTGCTGGCTCGCCAGAGCAGCTTTGTCACGCTGGCCACGTGACCCGGAAGTGTCTGTGGACAGCGCTGGCTCCCGGCCTCTAGAGTGAGATGAGCGCACAACCCTAGAGTCTGTCAAGACTGGCCCTTACGGGCAGGGGTACCTTTACCTTTAGTGGAAGTAAAAGACACAACAGCTAAGAGACATAATAGTCAAGAACCATAGGAAGAGCTACACAGCGGCCACTCGTGGAAGAAGAAGACATAACAGCCAAGAGGCACAATAATTAAAAATAGCAGGAAGAGCGACACAGCGGCCACTAGTGGAGGAAAAAGACACAACAGCCAAGAGACATAATACTCAAGAATAGTAGGAAGAGCGACACAGCGGCCACTTGGGAAGAAAAAGATACAACAGCCAAGAGGAAAAGTAATAGCCATACCCGCAACGCCAATACTTGCTTAAAGGAACTGTAAAGCATAAACATCAAAGGGGAAATTTAAAATTCCAAATATTTCCAGCATAAAGGTAAAATTAATTACCCATGAAAATTAGATCCAATTAAACTTCCCACAGGGGAACTCCCAATAGCTTTAATCTTTGGAGACTATATAGAATCCGAGGCGGAGAAGCGGAATCGAAAGACAAGTGAACTCAATCTCAAAACAACCAGCCATCCAAAAATACCCAAATACCCAAATGGGTTCAAAGAAAATGCAATCAACAATTGGCCAAACTTTACTTGCCAGCCAAGCAAGGAGAACTTCGATGGCGGAAGGTGAAGCAAGTATGGATGTAAAGGATTTGATTATTGCCATGCAGAAAGACTTAGGGGACAGAATAAACTCAGTAGGCGGAAATATAAAATCACTGGAAGAGAAAGTAGTAACTATGGGCAATAAAATTGAAAAAAAATCAGCTCTTATAATGGACCTTACACATCAAATGAACCAATTGACAACGAAGAATAAAGAAATTGATAAGACAGTGCAAGAAGTGAAGGCAAAGACATTGAAGCAAGAGGAAATGACCAAAAAGATGGGGGCTGAGCAAAAAGAATTGAAAAAAATCCAAGACAAAAACAAGGGGGAAATAGAGAACCTAAGGAAGATGCAGGAGGCGATTTGGGATGAATTGGCTGTCCTTGAGTTGAGACAAAAGGAAATGATTCTCCGCCTGAGAGGAATACCAGAGAGCCAGGATGAGGACATTTCGACAAAGTTGTTAAAAGCCCTGGCGGACTGGTTGGGGGTTCAGGAGGAGGACTTATCACTTGATATTGATAAAATCTTCAGGATAAAACTGCATATAATAGGAATTAACCTAGGAACTCAATACTACAAAATTAAAGCCTTTGCCGATGATGTAATCGTAACCACTGAAAATCCAGTGGAAAGTATCCAAAAAACGCTTGCACGACTGGAATAATTTGGGAAGGTCTCTGGGTTCAAACTGAATAAAGGAAAATCCAAATTATTAACGAAAAATTTACGTAAGTTGCAACAAGAGGAACTGGAAAATACAACAGGTTTAAAGGTAGCCAATAAGGTAAATTATTTGGGGGTTTGGATCACCAATAAGAATATAAACTTATATAAGCACAATTATGAGAAGAAGTGGAAGGAAATAAAAAAAGAATTAGAGACTTGGGGAAAATTGTATTTGTCCCTGTGGGGGAGAATATCCACAGTTAAAATGATGGTATTGCCAAAGATGATTTTTATGTTCCAAATAATACCTATAATTAGAGGCGTAAAGTGTTTTAAGGATTGGCAGAAAGACTTGCCAAGTTTATTTGGCAAGGGGAAAAACCACACATAAAATTTAAGCTACTAACAGAGTTGAAGGGAAAAGGAGGCTTCGCGGTCCCTGACCTTAAACTGTACTTTGAGGCAGTGTGCTGGACATGGATTAAGGACTGGATATTAATTAAAAACACGGAAGTCCTAGATCTGGAGGGATGGGATATTGTGTACGGGTGGCATGGCTACATAGGCTATCACAAGGTTAAATCCCACAAAGGATTTTTAAATCATATTGTGAGAAGGGCATTATATGAAGTATGGGAGAGGAGTAAAAAAATCAGTAGTAACCAAAATAGCATGGTGGCTGTCACCAATGGAATCTATGTCGGTTCACAGGATGAATATTAACAGTGATTGGCTAACATATAAGGATTTAGTAGAGGAAACAAGTAGTGATCCGAAAATAAAGGACCTAAGCGAATTGAAACAGAAGGGAATAACCTGGCTGGAGTATTATCAATTAAAAGCCGCCCTTGAAAAGGATAAAAGAATCAAAGGATTTGACAAAAAAAATCCTATCTGGAGAAGGATATTTTATATCATAATCAAAAGATACTTTCTAAAATGTACAAACTACTTTTGAACTGGGAAAGAAAGGAGGAAGATATCAAAGAAATTACAGTAAAATGGGAGAGGGACCTGGGACATACGATCAAACCCAATATTTGGAACGAATTATGGACTAAAAATATAAAATTCACGGCTTGTTTCCTTATAAGGGAAAATCTTATGAAAATGTACTATAGGTGGTACCTGACCCCTGTAAAACTAGCAAAAATAAATAAATCAAATAATAACAAGTGCTGGCGATGTAAGGAACAGATAGGAACATACTACCATATGTGGTGGTCCTGTCTAGAGATACAAAGATTTTGGAACATGATTTATAAAGAGATAAAGAGATTGATAAAAACTACATTTAGCAAGAAACCGGAAGAATTTTTACTAGGAATGGTTTCAGATAATATTCCCAAAAACAAAACCAGGCTATTTATGTATGCAACGTCAGCAGCAAGGGTTATAGAAGAAGAAGAAGAGTTTGGATTTGATATCCCGCTTTATCACTACCCTAGGGAGTCTCAAAGCGGCTAACAATCTCCTTTCCCTTCCTCCCCCACAACAAACACTCTGTGAGGTGAGTGGGGCTGAGAGACTTCAAAGAAGTGTGGCTGGCCCAAGGTCACCCAGCAGCTGCATGTGGAGGAGCGGAGACGCGAACCCAGTTCCCCAGATTACGAGTCTATTGCTCTTAACCACTACACCACACTGGCTCTCCCAAAACAGTGGCAAAACACTGGAAAGATAAAAATACACCCACTATAGAGGAATGGGTAGTCAAATTGTGCGAGTACTTGGAGCTCACAAAGCTGACAGATGCAATAAGAGATAAACCTAAAAAAATTGGTGAAAGAAGAATGGGAATGTTTAAATAATTATTTAGGGGACAAGGGCTCAGCAAGAAATATCTGGCTATGTTTAGAATGATACCGCATAGAGAAATGTTCCCTGATACCAAGATGAGGGATTCCTTTGGAATGCAGATAGAGATAATTGATAAGAATAATGATCTGTTGTGAGCTTGACGGAAGTGTACAATAGATAAGCCTTCCTGCTTTGGCTCATCTTCCTTTTTCTTTTTCTTTCTTTTTCTTTTTTCTTTTCTTTTATCTTTCCCATAGTTGCTTATGTTCTGTGTCATGTACTTTGATATTTTTTGTAGTTTTTAAAGGTTTTTTCCCATTACTATTAATGAATTTTCCTTTGTAATTTTGGTTGTATATATTTATATGTACCTGTTTACATGTACCTGTTTAAAGCAAAAAAAGAAAAAGAAAAAAAAAGAAGAAAAAAAGAAGAGAGTTATGTGAGGAATATGGGGAAATCCTGGTACTAAATTTGAGTCGGACCTTTTCTCTTTTACTCTATGTGAAAGCAAAGAATGGCACCATGATTTAAATGATATGTTAATGAGTTGAGGAATGTAAGGCATATGGCAATGCCATCAGCCCTACATGCTAAGTATATCTGAGCAAGGACTACAACACTAGAAGATAAGAATAGGCTGTAGTATTTGCTAAAGGATATGGGGCAAAACTCAGGTGTGTTTCCTTGGCTGTAAGTCCTATTGTGGTTCACAGAAATGAGTCATTAGTCAAGCGACTGTGGAGAGAAGCCTGAAGACCCTGAAATCAGAGGTTCCTTTACATGCTCAGCCTGGAGGGTTCGGGCTGTGGATGCTATTTGTGAGATTACGCTTACCTCTGGCAGGTTGTTCAATCTCTCGTTTGGGGAACCGAGATTACTGCTTTTTACAGCACTTCATGGTCACTAACCCCTTGCATTTTCCAATCTTAGTCATGTGGAGACACGTCAGAGGTATGCAACGCCCCCCTGCAGCTTTGCATTCTTCTTTAGTCTGTGGTTTCTCCTGGGGTTCTTGACCCTGTGGTGTCTCCTGGGGTTCCTCACTCTGTGCTGTCTCCTGAGAAAATCCTGCACAAAGAGAGAGACAAAATATCACTGTACACTACAGGGACCAAAATAAAGTTACAGGTTTTCAGCGGGCAAAGAAAATTCAGAAGAGGAAGAAAAAGGGGGTACAAGTTCATTGGCAACTCAGGGTACAGTGACATTCCAACTCCAACCTCCAGCCATTGGCCACACATGTTGTCTGGGCTGGAGTCAGATGCCGGTCATCACAAAGAAACAGTTGTCAGTTTTTATTATTTTACTTTTTATTCAAGGAATCGGAATACAGTTCAGTCACACGTCCCAGTAGGTCTTGAGCCTACTGAGCAGTTACCAGGACTGAAGGTCCCTGTCTTCCACTCCTTCTAAGGCTCCTCCTCTTCCAAACATTTCCCAAGCACTCTCTAAAGCCATCTGCCCACCTCTGATCTTTGTTCTGCTTTTCTCATTGTCCTGCACATTCTTGGAGACCAGTGAGGATGGGAGCTCGTCGCAACTGGAGAGAAAGACTTCTGGCATTCTTCAGCAGCCTCTTCACGACCACCTCTTGTCTGCTTCAGCCTTGGAGACTGAACTGCTCCCTGCCACAGGTTCCTCCTGCTCTCTAAACCCTATTGCCCCTTCGGGATCCTGCACATCCTCCCAATCTTCTCCCTCTGAGCTCTCCTCAGTGTCCCACCAACAATCCCCGGGCTCTGAGCCTTCTTCCTCTTGGATTTCCAAATGTTTGATGTTCTGAATAGTCCTCTCCTCTCCATTCCATTCTCCCACCCCGGTTTTACAAACAAAGACACCTGTATAGACCTTAGTAGGATATGGAATTATTTGGAGAGGGCTTTCCCTAACATTTTGTGTGGTTTTCCCTGCCCTAAAGATTCTTGGAACTACTGCAAATCTTAAGGTGCTCCTCAACCCTTGTTGATATGTCTCTCTGCTGCATGAGTGCTGTTGCTTTAAACAATGCAGGGAATCCAGCACTTGAGCTCTCCAGTAAGGATCTGCAAATGTTCAGCTGAAATCCACACTCCCATAACTAAAGCCAGTTAGATCCAATTTCTCCCTCCGGGGCAGCAGAAAGCAAACATTTCCAGCCTTTCATGGAGCGGACCAGCATCAACCCAGTATCTCCAGGCTGTGGCTCTTTCCTTGAGAGCCACAGTCAGTTGGTATAAACAGTATTAAGCTAGGTGGACAAGTGGCAGAAGGGTTAAAAGTACTGAGCTGTTCTCAAAACCTTTGAATAGTGCTCTTTCCCAGCCCCACTATGCAGGACCTGAAGACAACTGCCTTCTTCTGTATCACTTACCAGACGTAGCCAGCAGCAGCAAAGACAGAATAGCCAAACATAGCTGGAGGATCTTCATGGCTCTGTTAGGATAGACGGTCTAGTGAGACTGGGTGCAGGGCCACAGGCCAGAAGGTTGTCAGGGGAGAGCCGAGTGATCCATATTTGTAGGATCCTTGGGAAGCTGTTTCCTCCCTCTTCCTTGCAAAGTCCAGCAAGTCGTCACCATGCCCTGAAGGAAAGTGGGGCTGCTGGTTCAGCCATCAGCACACTGTCTTCCCCAGAATGACATGTAGAGATGGAAAGATTGGAGGTTTTGGCCCACTGTGAGACCTGGAGGCACAAAGACTGGAAGAAGCACCTAGATGAGTCACTGAGCACCTACTGTTAGAACAAAAGCCAGTGTACTGGAAGAGGCAAAGGTCACCAGTGTCAAAGCAATGATTCTTCAAGATCAACATCATTGGACTGGTCATGTTGTTCAGTTGCTTGATTAGTGGTCAACAAAAGAGGTTTAAAGATTCTCTGAAGGCAAATCTTAAAAAAAGTAGTATAAACACCGAAAAATGGGAAACACTGGGCTGTGAGCACTCCAATTGGAGAACAGCGTTTATTAAAGGTATCATGGTCTTTGAAGACGCTCGAACTTAGGACAAAGAGGAGAAATGTACTAAGAGGAAGGCACGCTTGGCAAACCCTCACCATGATCAACTCCCACCTGGAAACTTATGTCCCCACTGTGGAAGGACGTGTGGATCCAGAATTGGCCTGCATAATCACTGACGGACTCACTGTTAAGACCGTGTTTATGGAAGACAATCTTACTTGGCTATGAGTGATTGACAAAGAAGGAGGAGAATATTGTAAGATCGATCCATGACTGATTTGCTATAGACCAATAAGGACCTTTCACTCTCAACTGTTTAATGGGACAGCAAAAAGCCTTTTGCCTCTCTGCTCCCCCTTCTATTCTAAATTATATGCCTAAAATAAAGGAAAGCTTGGGAGGAACCAGGAGTGGGATTTTTGTGTTGAAAGACAATGAACGCCACTCAGTTCAGATACCAAAACCCAATTCCTGGGAGTGGGTTATGTTCACATGAGCACCTTGAAGCACCTTGGAACACAGTGGCATTACGTCTTTGGTTGGCACCCGGGGCAGGACCAGCGGCTGCACAGAGGGTGGACAAAACATAATGTGCCAGCCCAACCCTTGCCACTTCTGCTGGGAGGGCTTGGAGCACAGAGGTTTCATGGGGCCACGCTGCAATGCTCTTGCCCACACAGACAGCAGCCCAGTCGGCCAACATGAACCTTGGCATGCACAGCCTTTCAGCGCTTGCTGGGCGGCCCTTCAGTGAAGCACCCAGGGACAAGGCGACAATGCCAGGTCGGGCTCCAAAGACCCCTGGCTGCAGGCAGGGCAGGGAGAATTACATGGGGGTGCCTGGGTCTCGCCTCCTCAAAATCATGCACCCAGGGCTACGGTCCCCCTGGCCTTCCCCACTCTACACCCCTGCTCCAACCACTACCCCTTCTTTCAGAACAGAAGCCCACTCACCCCTTTGTGTGTGGTGACATTGCGGGACAGAGGAGGCTTATCTTGGCTCCCAACGTGGGAATTCAATCTATGAAGCTATGCCCTTCTTGATAGCCATAGGAGGCTTGAAGCCCCTCCACCCATCAGGAACCAAATCTTAGCCTACTTTGGCAAATGTGGCTGCAGGCTGTGCCAGGGGCAGTGCTGATGGAACCGCCAGTGGGCTTCTCTCCTATACACCCCTTGCCCATTTAAGCAGCAAGCAACTGAGGCTCAGCTTGCTTGTTATTGCGCTGGGCTGACTTTACCTTGGCTACAGTGGTTGCCACTGTTCAAGGGGCCTGGTAGGAAATTGCCCACCAGGGTAATTGGCAATGACCCAGTGGTTTTGCCTACCTCATAGCACTTGTCACAGGTGGTTGGGCATTGGGGAAATCCTTTGTTCTGGACGGAGGGGAGGTTGTAGTCTCCACCTGCCACTCCAAATGCTGGGGTATCCCATTAAAGGGATCCGGGGGGATCCATGTCTGTGTGCCTAGGCCAAGGCTGAAGGCACTCTCCCAAACGGTGGTCCCTGCAGGGGTCACCCTATTTGATGTACGTCTTAGGAACCCCCACCAGGATTGACCACGCATCCCTTCCAGTGGGTGAGCCAGAAGTATTTTGATTGCCCCATGCCTAAGTCATACCTCTTTCATCTGTATCTAGTAAAGTTGTGGCCTGTTTTGACCCAAAGTCCAGTCTTATTGGTTTCTTATTATACAGGTTGGGGTATGGGAAGTTCGATGCCTGGTCCTGCAAGAAGAGTCTACTGGATCTGGCCCGGGGCCCATCTTGCTTAGAATTCTGTTCTCGCAGTGGTCCACCAGATGCCTGCAGGAAGCCAGGATTTGAGCGCAAGAGCACTCCCCACCAACTGTGGCTTCCAGCAACTGGTATTCAGAAGTATTGCTCTCTCCAACTGTGGAGACAGAGCACAGCTATCATGGATAACTGCTCTCATTAGCCCTCTCCTCCATGAAGAAGAAGAGTTTGGATTTGATATCCCGCCTTTCACTCCCTTTAAGGAGTCTCAAAGCGGCTAACATTCTCCTTTCCCTTCCTCCCCCACAACAAACACTCTGTGAGGTGAGTAGGGCTGAGAGACTTCAAAGAAGTGTGACTGGCCCAAGGTCACCCAGCAGCTGCATGTGGAGGAGCGGAGACGCGAACCCGGTTCCCCAGATTACGAGACTACCACTCTTAACCACTACACCACAGGTTGCAGGTTCAGTCCCTGGCATTTTCAGGTAGGGCTTGGAGAGACCCCTCTCTGAAACCCTACAGAGATACTGACAGTCAGCTTAGACAGCAGAGTCGTACCTTGCATCTCGAATGCCTTGCTACTCGAATGTTTTGGCTCCCAAACTCCACAAACCCGGAAGTGAGTGTTCCAGTTTGTGAACATTCTTTGGAACCTGAACGTCTGACACGACTTACGTGGCTTCTGATACAGTACAGGAAGCTCCTGAAGTATACCTGAAGGAGCATCTCCACCCTCTTCGTTCAGCTATTGACCTTGTTTAGAACCTCAAACCCGGATAATAGAAAATTGGCAACCAGTGCATCTCTGAGCAGCGTAACATGTTGTCCCCAGGAGCTGCTCCTGTGTGGTATCTGGATGCTGATTTCTACTAGTTTTATCAACTCTGTTTATAAGGTTTAAAAAGGTAAAGGTACCCCTGCCCGTACGGGCCAGTCTTGACAGACTCTAGGGTTGTGCGCCCATCTCACTCAAGAGGCCGGGGGCCAGCGCTGTCCGGAGACACTTCCGGGTCATGTGGCCAGCGTGACAAAGCTGCATCTGGTGAGCTGATGCGGAACGCTGTTTACCTTCCCGCTGGTAAGCGGTCCCTATTTATCTACTTGCACCCGGGGGTGCTTTCGAACTGCTAGGTTGGCAGGCGCTGGGACCGAGCAGCGGGAGCGCACCCCGCCGCGGGGATTCGAACCGCCGACCTTTCGATCGGCAAGCCCTAGGCGCTGAGGCTTTTACCCACAGTGCCACCCATGTCCCCTTATAAGGTTTAGCCTCATGCAAAAACCAAAACATAACCCGTGGTTCCCACACCTCCCTTCCCATTTTGTCATATTTCACTATCCTCATTGTGGCTCAACAGACTGTTTTGGGAGAATCCTTTCTCCTATTAGGGTTCTTTTCTAAAGATCTGCTTTGCTTCTGCACAATCATGCTGGTTGAATCCTGTGTCTCATGAGGGCAAGGTGCTATTTTGGCTGCATAAGCAAGGACGGATAACTGGAAACAGGAAAGAGAGGGAACGTGGTTTTTTAATTTGCTTTTATTGCAAGGGACAAGCTGGTATAATCATGGAACATTTTGCAATGGCTTATTCTTTCGATCCAGATGTTTTGGTGAAGAAGCAGAAGGCGTCTCTAGCTGGGGATGAAGCAGCAATCCAGTGGCTCTTAAAAGATCCTGGGTAAGCAGGACTCCTCCATCAGTCTAACCTGTTTGAAAACAAAGCAAAATATACAGCAGTTATTTCCATTTCACCTGGAATCAGATGTCAAAATGATGAACATAGGAAGGTGGAGCATTGCAGGCAATGAATGAGCTAAGGCAATCAACAATAAGTATTGAAAGGAAATATAAACTCCTTTGGACAAGAACAAATACGTTTCTGAGCACAATTCAAAGTGTCGGTGCTGACCTTTAAGGCCCTAAACGGCCTTGGCCCAGTATACCTGAAGGAGCATCTCCACCCTCATCGTTCAGAACGGACACTGATGTCCAGCGGTGAGGGCCTTCTGGAGATTCCCTCCCTGCAAGAAGTGAGGTTACAGGGAACCAGGCAGAGGGCCTTCTCAGTGGTGGCGCCCGCCCTGTGGAACGCCCTCCCAACAGATGACAAGGAAATAAACAACTATCTGACTTTTAGAAGACATCTGAAGGCTGCCCTGTTTAGGGAAGTTTTAATGTTTGATGTTTCATCGTGTTTTTAACAATGGGTTGGGAGCCACCCAGAGTGGTTTGGGAAACCCCGCCAGATGGGCGAGGTATAAATAACAAATTGTTGTTGTTGTTCTTTTCTTGTCATGGTTTTCTGTATATATTTGTATTGTTCTAGAGAAGATCCCCAGCTCATCTGAGAACTGAACAACAACAAAAAATGACGAATGAAGGAAAATGGAAGATATAGGCAATATAAACAGGCAAAAGAAAAGAAAAGTGAGGCATGCCTAGGACTCTACTGTCAGATTCTGATGAACAAATGAGGACAGATTCCAGTTACAGAATCAAGTCTGAGACTGTACAAACTCTTTAGAGATATTGACATGAGTTTTCAGAATGATGGATGAAAAGAGTTAGTTATGTGAGGAATATGGGGAAATCCTGGTACTAAATTTGAGTCAGACCTTTCTCTTTTGCTCTATGGGAAAGCAAAGAATGGCCCCATGATTTAAATCATATGTTAATAAGTTGCAGAATGTAAGGCATATGGCAATTCCATCAGCCCTACAAGGCCACTGGAAGTGATGATATTCCAGCTGAACTATTTAAAATTTTAAAAATGATGCTGTTAAGGTGCTACACTCAATATGCCAGCAAATTTGGAAAACTCAGCAGTGGCCAGAAGATTGGAGAAGATCAGTCTACATCCCAATCCCAAAGAAGGGCAGTGCCAAAGAATGCTCCA